AATATTATGTTGAAGCACAGGACGTATTACTCTGCGAGGCTCCTGACTACAGTAGCTGTAATGCTCCTACAATCCGTCAAGCGGTGCAGCTTCGTAACTTACCAAAGTCATACTAAAACATTTTGACAGATTTTTCAGGGCCGTGTATCACATAGAATCAGTTCAAGGTCAGTAAGCACAACCAGAATTGATACATAAGGCGCACTGTCAGTTTTTTGAGAAAATTGAAGGATTTTAGGTGCGCCTTATAGTTACTGAAATTCTAAAAAAAAAAAAATGTTTTGCAATTAAATAATATAACATAGAGTAATATGCAAAGGTCTTGAGCCACCACTTATTTCTTCATAATTTGCTTCCAAAGAGAGTTTATTGTATTTTTAATATGCTCTTGAGCAACTGTTCCCCAGTTTTTCTGATGGTCTTTCAGAGTTTTCTTTGGACATTTGCTGCTTTTTCACTTATTTTCAGTCCAGTCATTGTACGTGACCATTTTCAGAAGAACCTCTTAAAAATCCATTTAATACTGATCTATTACTTTCTAAAACGTTACCCAACTCAAGGGATCTAAAAGTGTTGTGTCTAAACATGACAGGAAACAAACGAAAAGAGCGAATTTTAAATTGGATCTTTAGGTAGATTGGAAAGACAAAAGTGGCAGGCCTGAAAAAAAAAAACAGAAAAGAAAAATAAAACAATCATACAACCAATTTTAAATCAGTACCTTGAGGCACTTGACTACTAGCAGCCATTTACACACATGTATATAATTTGTTTCTGTGGCTTAAAAAACAGAAATTGAGAAAGATTACCAGTCTGACAGCCATAAAATAGTATTTTTACACCAACAAGGTGTTATCAAAAACTTGTCATATCTTGGCATGACATACAATCTTGTGGAGTGATTGATTTGAAGTTTAGGGTTGATTTAAGGTTGAATTGCCATCACTGTACATCTGTATGTACAGAAGGAGTCAGGAAAAAACACTGTGTGGAGGCTTTTTCATGCATTCAGCTGTTGTATTTCAGTTCTTGTGTTTGGGATCTTGTCAAAATAAATGCAGAAACGTACAGTCAGATTTGGATCTACATCCAATGCCATGATTAGTAATATCTTGCCAATTCTCCCAAAACACTGCCAGTGCCATAAAAGCACACCTGGATAGAAAACACACAGTGGAGCACTATCAGTCATGGACAGGTATCCCCAGAGTGCAGACCGCAGCGTTATTAAAGCAGTGTGGGATGATCTCGACAGAGAACAGAAAAGAAGGCAGCCAGCATCCAGAGAAAAGCTTTGAAAGTTCTTCAAGACTGGAGAATTATTCCTGAAGACTATTTAAAGAAATTACAAGAAAGCTTGTCATCGAGTTCAGGCTGTGCTGAAGAATAAAGGTGGTCATACCAGATATTTACTCTCAAGCTTGATAGAGTTGTACAGCCTCTGGCTTTGCCTTATATAACGTATCTTTACTTCTGTTTGCACATTTTATTAAATTGCTGAACCTCTGCCAGTTTCACAGCAAAATACAAAGAGGTGAGGGGTGGCTCGAGATTTTTATGTGGTACTGTACACTTACCATCACTTAAGGGAGCTTTAAGGTTAGGACTTACTCTTACTGTAATTCGTGAATACATTAACATCCTTAAAATCATGCATAATTAAGCATATCAGCCATTTCATCTGATACTTTCCCATCCATGTTGAATTTGTGTAACACAGATACCCCATCTGCACCTTGTGAGTGTCTTCTAGGGGATTTTCTGTCAGACATGTTTTCTCTTTATGCCCTTCCTTTTTTGGTTAAAACATAAGGCTGATTTGGGACTATGCTATGTGTCCCCATTGACTACAATGGAGACATACACTCTGTATACACTATATATAATGCTCAAAGCACTGCTGTGCTGTCAGTTTGCTAGCATGACTGTACAGTCTTGTTCCACAGTGTTGTTGCAAAGTAGGCAAAAAACACTTTGCTTTTTGTGTTACCTTGATCTCAAATTGATTTTGTCAGTTTTTTATCCTCATCTAAGAGTACAGTTATTAATAGCCGATAGTTGTCAAGGTATTACCTTCATTGAAAGAGAATTTATCCAAATTGAATCTGACAAACTACTAAATTTTTACCCTCAAAGAGCCCATTGAAGTTCTGGAAGAAAGTTGGTTCTGACAGAGCTAGACTATAGGATCAAATCAGCAACACTGAACATGTAAACAACAACCATAAGTAAAGCAGCCATCCTGAGAATACCCTTTGATAAACAGACTTTCATACAGGGCTTCAAATTTATTAGTTCTGCCATCTTAGACAAGAACGTTTATATGCCCCTGGAATCCTTCTGGAATTGTAAGCCAGATGGTAGAAGAATAAGGTGTGCCCACAGCCGTGAGTGTCTATTAACCCTTACCTTCAAAGTGCATCACAATGCCACCTTCAAACCAAATTACTAAGAGGTGTACTTGGAAAACACCTTGTGATCAGTGCACCCTTGGCACCTTTATACAGGACTTCCAATCTATGGCATGGATTGCAAAGTAATTACACAAGGACCACAGGAAAAGAGACTGCATAATCCAAATTTCAATTAAAGCTAATGTTTAAACATATAGTAGTTCAGGTTGGCCTTGAGAATTAACAAGCAGAAAGTAAATTTTTGCTCATTCTGGAGTTCAGATGGCCATTGGGGACAACGTTTTACAAATTACTGTGAAATAAATAGAGACTATGACTTGAGAAGGGATCTGACCATGACTCTGTTTCTGTCTGAGGAGAAAACTCTCCCTTAGATAATTAGCATTCATGGACTGCTTGAAAGGTTCCCTTCACCTTCCATTCAGTTTTCTGACCTGCTCCAACAGGTCAGCATGACCTCTAGCAAACCTCTTCACGATCACATTCATCACTGCATACTTGAAAACCCTTGGCACATTAGTAGCGCTGAAAACCTGACCATCTGCAACTCAGTTTTAAAAAAAAATCAATTTCCACAAATTTACCATCTCAGTAAATGGCTGCATTATTTTAACCTTAAGTATATCATGCTGTAATACTGTGTTTTTGTTTTAGTCGTTATTTTCAATGTCTTTTCTCATCTTTTGGTTACTATGTTTTTGCGTGTCCATTTGTTTCTTTAGTAATTTATAATTGCTGAGTTGATGTAAGTTTCTCTTTAACTTTTGTCACATACAAGGCTTCAGTCACATGGAATTTGCGTACTGGTTGCTAGAAAAAATTCTCTACTCCCCAACTGACAAGCGGTGGCTGATGGTCATTAGGTTGAAGTATGATGCTGCACAAGAAACATCTCCTTGTGATTGCCTTGGTCACTAGCGGATGGCAGAAATGGAACATTCTCTATTTTTGCAAAACGGAAACAGAGAATGTAAAAGTATGAGTAAACGTTTTGTCGTACTGCTTCAGCCAAAATGTTTGAAAAAGCGTAACTTTTTCTTTTAAGCCAAATGGTTTCCTGTTTTGGTTTATGTTGCAATTTTCACAGCTTCACAACAACTCAGAGAGTAGATGTCAACTGTTTGCAGACAATTTGGCAACTTCCATGCAAACAATGGGCAACTGCTGCAATCCACAAGTGATCAAATGCAAGAAGGTTTTGGGTGCAGCAGCATATATTTTTTGTAAATACTTTTTATCAAGCACGTACCAGTTACTTCCATGAAAATTTGCAGTCTTTAGTTGCTAGGGAGACATTAACATTTGAATTTAGCCCCAAAGCTATATAGATTATTGCAACTGTGGTGTTTACAGGTCATTTTTAGTTTTAAAACGTGAAATTCGAAGGCATGGGATCACAGTTTATTACTATAAACATTTAACACACCAGGTTAATGAACAGTTGTTTAAGGTTGTTTAGTAATGCTGTATAAACAGATTGCTAATTATCTGAGCAAGACTTGCCATACTATGCCATAGACATAGTACGTGAACTCACAGTTTTCTTATTGTTCAGAACAGGTGTGAAGCAATTATTTTTAACACTTGCCACTGACTCTCAAATTATATTTCACTTCTGGGAACTTGTATGAAACAGCAATGTAAGCAAACCCTAGGCCCGCACACACAAATACACACACGTGCGTCGTGTTAATGTTTCCTCTGTTCTCCTCTCCCCTGCTCTGGCCTCATCTATTTTAATGCAGTGAGAATGCTGATTGGACAAGATGAACATTTAGACAGGGTGAAAGGAACAGCAGCTTGCAATTTGTCACCTTCTCACTACTTTTTAGTAGTTGAAAGAGATGATGTGGAGAAGGGTTTGACTGGAGAACAGATGCAGAGATAAAAGAGATGCAACAAAGGGAAGAAGACAGTGATCTACTTTCTTCCAAGTGAAAATTGAAACCACTGTCTCATTAACTCTGGAAAAGTTTAAGAATTGCTGGTGGGAAGTAACTTTAACACCTTTGGACAAGTTGCAATAAGTGGGAAAAGAGAGCAGATCCCTCAAGTTTGTCTCAACACCCTTGCCAAATCAAACCCAAAAAACTTTGGATTTTTGTATAGGAGCAATAGCTAAAAGAATGTCGAATAAAGTTTAGCTCAGACAATATGGCAGGACAGATGATTTCATGTAACTCTGACCCGCTTTCAATTGTTGTCAAAGTTGTCAAAAAGTCTGCAAATACATAAGGCCCCTTATGAAACTGTACGGCAGGAAATGCTGTTAATAATTCTCATCATTCACAGCTATCTCTCCTTCTCACACATACATTGATTCACCCCCTTACCCACCCAGTATCTTTCCTAATTTCAAAAGAGAAACCATGCAGTTGTTAACAAGATTGGAAAAAAATGTTAAGAGTTGTACATCACTGATTTACACATGTACTTTGTTTAATATGAGAGGACTTTTTATTCAAAGAATGACTCACCTCAAAGGCAGCCTGAAGTGCTGCTTGCATTTCAAAACAGCTGATTAAACCCTTGAATTCCCTTTTCTTATTATGTGTGTGCCTGTGCTTTTTGTTCTGTCTGGTTTAGGCTACAGATCCAGATCTGGGGGCAAGCGGTCAGGTCCATTATCGGCTCGTCAACCACCAGGGGCTGTTTTCCATCAATGCCACTGGAACCATTACAACTGCAGTGCCACTGGACAGAGAGGTGAGACGAAGCTACAGATTCTGTTCCTAATTAGTTTAAGGCAAAGCAGACAACTGTAAACGGTAATAGTATTTTTATGACGTAACTCCACAAACAGGAATGGCTGAAAGAAGTGTGTTTTTGGTTTGCAAATCCTTCTATATGTCCCATTCTCTTAAATTTGATCTTTTGATGATGTTGGAGGAGTTTTGTCAAAATCTGGCATTAACATTCCCTTGGAATGAAAGATGAACTGCGGGGCTGAATAAACTGTCAGTGCAGTAAAGATAAACCTATCCAGATCAACTGAGGGGCCAGCAGCTTCTCTTGGATCCTGGGCCAGTTTTTTGCTGGATTTTTGTTTTCCCCATTTCTTAACGACATGACTTTCAGAAACTATTCATATGCTGGAGACTTGCCATTCAGGGCTAATACTTGTTCTTTTGTTCTCCAGTTGTCTAGTTGGCTCAAATTTTTTAAGGACACACTGCACATCATAGCAAGATATGACATGTTTTCAGCAAATATTTTGTTATGAATCATCTTCTTTGTGCAAAAATAAAATATTTTGCCTTTCAAACTGTGTTTTGTTGGCATTTGTTGTAGAAAAACGTTTTTTGTTCCTAATAATAAAGTGCATAAAGAGAAGTTATGTCTAGACACTACAATGGATCATTCCAGTAGTTAGGTGCTGCTTTTATGCTAATATAGGTCTATAACAAACGGACTTAAAATGTGTGCAAAAAAAGCCAAAAAAACCACCTTTCTGAACTGTTGCTAGAGAACTATTGCTCAGAACCATTGCCCTTTAAAAGCAAAATTTAAAGAAAAGAGGAGTGGTTGAAGAGTTTTGCACAGTACTGTCAAACAATATAGTGGTGACATATCCAGCAGCTCAGAATTAAAATCTGGTTGACATGAATGCAAACTGTAATTTGGGTGGTTGGTGAAAGAAAACTGTGAGAAAGTAATTCTTGTTTGTAGCTTTGTTAATGCTAAATTTTGAATCTGTGTTCTCCTGAAGGTTAAAGGCCATTACTATCTCACGGTTGAAGCCTGGGATGGTGCAGAGAATCCACGGCGATCCAGATTAACACTTCGTGTCACCGTTCTGGATATAGACGACAACAGCCCAATATTCACCCAACAAACTTACAATGTCAATCTACCGGAGAACAGCCCAAAGGGCACTGTTATATTACAATTAAAGGTAAGTGTTTGTAAAGAGGAACAGGTGGTTTTGTAGCTTAGGCGTTTAGCGAATCAAACAAAAAGAAAAAAATCAGTAGTTCATTGGAACTTTTATATCTAAATTTTTGGTAAAGTGAAAAAGTTCTCCAGTGTAAATAAGGCTTTGTTGCAAACAAAAACTTACTGAAACTAGATCATGACAAATAAATCATCTCTGCTGATGCATTGGTTGGTTTTAGATTAGTACAGTTATATCTGAATCAGCAGATAAACAGTGCAGCAAAGAAAGATGGGGGGGGGGGGGTTTGAGAAAACTACCTGCATTATAAAATGTAATTTCTTCAGCAGATAACTCTGGCATGTATTTTTTATCTGAAGAAGATCCAACTCAGTGTTGCTCACAAGTCTTTAAACAAATGAATGGATTCCTAAAGGAGCTGTTCTATATTGCTTATGCTGTTTTTATGTGTGCGTTAATTGTTTGTACTGCCCTACCAGCCATTGATCTAACCAACGATAATTTCCCAGAACAATTGTTTTTTTCTGTTTGTTTTTAGTGTATTTCTGAGAGCAATCACACAGCTTATATGTTTATATGTTTCTTAATTAAAACATCACTTTTTCTTGTGTTCTCAGTGTTAGCGTTATCATTTAAATCTCTATAGCACTGTAGAGGTTTAGAAGAACTTTTTTTTTATCAAATCTTAGCATTCCTTAGCAAAGACACAAATTGCTGGTTTGCATTTATTTTATATACAGATCAAGCTAATATGTTTAATGTCCTTAATAATGTTCTTAATAAATCCCTTTATCTTAAAAATTCCCATTGATGTCAGTCTAATTTAATGTTATTTATTATTATTATTTATTAATGTTACAAATTATTGAAAATTATATTTATGCTGCATGCAGTGATAGAACATTGATAGTTTGATAACACTTGCAGACACGCTGCACACTGCAGCAGAATGTGAGATAAAGCTGCACAGCTACACTTTAAAATTATTACATAAGATATGGACCACCAGCTGTAATTTAAAGGTTACTACCACAGGCATTTCTGACAACAACACAACACAGATCTAATTAAACTGTTATAGTGTGTTACAAGCAGGTATATATGGATTCATGTCCTACTGACAAGTATTAGAAATTCACATTGCTTTCCTTTCCATGTTCTCTGTAGGCGACAGACGCTGACCTCAACTCCAACCTTACTTACCGAATCAGAACCGAAGGCTCGGACCAGGACATCACTCAGCTGTTCCACATCGACTCCAGAACAGGCGAGCTTTCAGTTCTCAAGGTTCCGGACTTCGAGGCTCTGTCTGAGTCAGAGCCCACATACACGTTCACTGTAGAGGCCCTGGACACAAAGGGAAACATGCCTCCTGGACTAGCCTCTGTTACAGTCAGAATAACGGTGAGTGCGTGGGTATGTGTCTACAAGCTAGTTTCTCTGTGTGGACATAAAGATGGGTAATATTTTCTACTCTTTTAGTAAAGTGTCTTTAGTTTGAAGAAAGGTAAACTGGCATTATGATGTAGCAGGTATTGGAAGATCATTATGCTTTTTGGTGGGGGTTTAATAAATGAATAATGAATGAAAATCGAATATGGAAAAGGCAAGCAAAGCATTTTCAGTCAGGAAAATAAAAAAGACCAAAAAAGCATTTTAGAACCAGCGTATGAAAATACAATGTGGTCTACATTGTAAAATGGCAAGTACCAATTGGCGGACACAACTGCTAACTTGCCATCCAAGTGGCATCGGCAGCACTAGAATTGATTGTTGCAACATCTGTTTGGTGTAGAGTCCAAGCGGCAACCTTTTGGGCTGAAAAAAAGCACCAAAAACTGCATTTTTTTGAATGACCATTTGACACTCGCTCCAAAAGAGAACTTTATAGTAGCAGTCACCATAGCTGGTTTTCCCTTTTAAATCAAATATGTGGAGGAATTCTTTTTAAACCCATCTGTTTAAATCATGTTAAGTCTTACATGTATTGGAGCAAGGCTGCTTTGAGTGTTAGATGGTTGCCAGTTCCTACTAGTTCAAATAACGAAAGTATTGGTGGCTTTTGGATCATTTTAAATGTAAATATCTAACAAATAATATGGTTTACTGTGTGATTAATTATTATACTAACAGACCTCCCAAGAAGTCTGTCCTCCAGTTTTGGTGAGTAAAATTTGGGTATTTTATTTTTATGCTCTTATTAGCAGGTATCTGTGTCTGTGCAATGCACCCTTGCCCAAGGTTTTCACTCGTCTGCCATCACACGCATATAAACTTGAGTGACATCACATATTTTAATTCATAAGCTTTAATATAATGTTGGCACATCCTTTGCAACTATAATAGCATTAACTCTTCTGGGAAGGCTTTCCACATTGTTTAGGAATGTATTTATTTTTTACCATTCTTCCAAGGTATTTCCAAGGTTTGACACTGATGTTAGACGAGAAGGCCTGTGTCACAGTCTCTTCTGTAAATTATCCTAAAAGCGTTCTGTTGGGTTGAGGTTCCCAAACTGTTCCCACAAAGTTAGGTCCATGAAGTTGTCCAAAATGCATGCATTTATTATTGAAGCATTGAGAGTTAATTTGACTGGAACTAAGGGCCCGAGCTTAACTCCTGAAAAACAAACCAACACCATAATGCCCCCTCCACCAAACTTTACACTTGGCACAGTGCAGTAAGACAAGTAGCGCTCTCCTGGCAACCACTGAACCCAGGCACATTTGTCAGTTTGCCAGATGGAGAAGTGTGATTTTCTACGGTGTGATTTCTTGATTTTATACACCTTTGGCCATGGAAGTGAGTGGAACACCTGAATTGAATTATTTGAATGAATCGGTGAGGAAATATGCATAAGTGTGCTGAAGGTTTTACAATAACCGTTGATTAGACAAGGTCCAGGCCTATTAACCTCTTGCTAGTGATCATGATTGCATACTACTCTATGCAGAGGTATATGATGCTCAAGCCTACAGTGATCTGGAAACTGCTGGAAGCACCAGTGTGATCGTCCACAGTGAAACAAGTTTTAGATCACCATGGACAAACAAAGTGATGAATTAGAAAGAAGTCCCTATCCGGTCGTTAAGTGATGACGTGACGAATCCTACTTCCTAGTCTGCGTTTAATATGGCTTTTGTGTTAAAATGTTTAATGTTTTGTATTTTCTTCTATTTAATCTCAAAAAGCTCCTAAAACAGTCAGTGATCACTGTTGACCTCCCTCGGCTTTTATTACCGCTAATCATTTATTTAAGCTCAGTTTTTAAAACCTTAGGATG